TGCGAGGATCGCATTTCCCATGGTCTTCAGCTTAGGAAGATCGCCTCTCTCGTGGTCGTTAGTTAAAATCAGGGTCGTGGAAAGGCAAGGATTGAAGAGGTGCCCAAAGCGCCAAAATTCCAAAATTGTTACATGAGCGAACTAATAAATTCATAGAGAACTTTTTGTATTATTAATCATAATAATTAAATTTGTTTTTGGTTTCATCCGTTAAACGATTTTGTTATAAAAACTTTCTATATTTTTAATTATTATAAATTGGCAAAAAGCTTAAATTTGAAGGTTGATATGAGTTTTATAAAAAAAAAGAAGAAAAATATAAATTTCAACAAGTAAGATCTTTATTATGTCCGATTCCATGCGAGAAATAACTGTGGGGTTGTCGATGGGAGAGCGATAGTCAAGACGGACGAGTGGTCGAGAGGATCTTATGTGAGTGCGAACGGCATTGAGACGACTCTACGATTATAACAAACCGTTTATTAAACACGAAAGGAATTACAAGATTTTCGCGATCTTAAGTTCTAAGTCGGCGGCGCCCAACGACATATAACTACTAGACCCGAACCGGACCGCCATCTTTGAAACGAATTTAACGTTTGTCCGCTATGACACTTTAAGGCAAATAGCTGTGCACCTGTTGGAAATACCTAATATAGATACGACTGTTCATCACATAAATAGACATTTTCATTATAAATTTGCAGAACTGATAAATCATAAGTGAAATAGTCAAAATGCTCTGAAAAATATTTTAAAACTAATCTTTAATAGTAAATACCAGTAGTTTAATTATTATTATTCATATCGGCTGAACATTTCGCCAAATTAAGGAATACAAAGTATAAAAAATATATAAGGTGTTCCTCGAACACGATTGGTTCCTAGAGTTTTTTGTATATCGCGGAGTGCCTGCACTGGATAATGTACAGTACAACCGTACCTAGAGACTGTCCATATATGTTATCTACACTGGAAAGGAAGGAGGGGAGTTAAGACAAGTTGGACAAAAATCGGACAAGGGTCCGTGTATTTCATTAAAATTTATAAAGTTTACGTATTACATTACATTTATTTCAGAATATCTTGTATGTTTCATTTCTACATATGATATCTATCATTCATAAAGTGATAAAAGGTTTAAAAAGAGTCGAGTTTTGTTAGATGGCTGAAGAGGGAAGAGGTTTACGGAAACTTGGAAAAACTAGAAGAAGAGGGGAAGGGGAGAGTAAAAATGTCAAGAAAAATGCGGATGTTATGGCCGGCTCATGTGAATATTTTCAAATTCAGTAACTCCTCAATAAACGTAATTTATTGACTTTTAAAATAAACTACTTTGGTGTACAATACATTTATGTTACAGAAACACCACGATGAACCTGATTATTATATGTGGTCATTTCTACTTATGGTATCTATTATTCATAAAGAGATAAGAGGTTAAGGCATTTGAGCTACATCTTGCTGTTGCACATTCCTCTCATCACAGGTATTATCAATTTGTTGGGTATCATCATCTACGTTAGCCAAAGATATTCGCTTTGAACAAGGTTTGATTCGGAATATACGAGTTTTACAGATCACGGGAAACGTGTTTCGTTATCCACTAATGCTGTAATTCAAATTTGAGCAAATATTGAAGTTACGACAAATAGTGTCGTATTGGCTGTGTCTGTAGATGCTGAAAAAAAATCAAACCTTATAGGAACTGATGTTTCATGCAAATGAGTGTNGACAAGTTGGACAAAAATCGGACAAGGGTCCGTGTATTTCATTAAAATTTATAAAGTTTACGTATTACATTACATTTATTTCAGAATATCTTGTATGTTTCATTTCTACATATGATATCTATCATTCATAAAGTGATAAAAGGTTTAAAAAGAGTCGAGTTTTGTTAGATGGCTGAAGAGGGAAGAGGTTTACGGAAACTTGGAAAAACTAGAAGAAGAGGGGAAGGGGAGAGTAAAAATGTCAAGAAAAATGCGGATGTTATGGCCGGCTCATGTGAATATTTTCAAATTCAGTAACTCCTCAATAAACGTAATTTATTGACTTTTAAAATAAACTACTTTGGTGTACAATACATTTATGTTACAGAAACACCACGATGAACCTGATTATTATATGTGGTCATTTCTACTTATGGTATCTATTATTCATAAAGAGATAAGAGGTTAAGGCATTTGAGCTACATCTTGCTGTTGCACATTCCTCTCATCACAGGTATTATCAATTTGTTGGGTATCATCATCTACGTTAGCCAAAGATATTCGCTTTGAACAAGGTTTGATTCGGAATATACGAGTTTTACAGATCACGGGAAACGTGTTTCGTTATCCACTAATGCTGTAATTCAAATTTGAGCAAATATTGAAGTTACGACAAATAGTGTCGTATTGGCTGTGTCTGTAGATGCTGAAAAAAAATCAAACCTTATAGGAACTGATGTTTCATGCAAATGAGTGTATTCGTTCTGTGTATACAAACAGTCAGCATCAAAGTACTGATTGCAAAGAACACTACTATTGCTCGATTTCCACTTGTCACGGGTATCACTCTGTCAACTACCGACCGAAGTATCACTTCTTTTAAGAAACTTATCAAAACAATATCCATCGTGTTATCGTTTTATTTACAAAAGCGGATACCGTATCATCTGTCGGCGATCAAACGGAGATCTCGTAACTCCAATATTTGCTCAAATTTGAATTACAACTTTAGTGGATAAACAAACACGTTCTTCGTGATCTGTAAAACTCTTGTAAATCCCGAGTCAAACCTAGTTTAATACACAAATAAAAAATAACATAAGGTAATAATGGATTTATGAAGGAAGTTTAATGTTTCTCCAGAAAAATTTTTTCAGAGTGAGTTACGAAGATTGTGATCGCCAACCGACGATATAGTATCAGAGCAACTAGGCCTATATCTAACTTACCGGTAAAACATGATACCGGATCTTTTTTATACCTATACAATTAACTGCACAGAAACTTAGTGGCATTCGTGTTATGCTCCTGTCACAATTCTCGCACACTCGAGTGTAAATAAATAGCAATTAGGCCACAAATAGTTACCATAAGTCGGCACACAACAATCTGTCCACAGCGGTTTTTGCGTCAGACTGTCAGACAAAGGCGCCTAGTTTCTTTGGTTTCAGACGGCGGGGCTAGTTTCTACGTTAACTTTTATCCGATATGTCTACTAATGGTCTAGTAGTTATATGACATTGGAGACGGCCTCAGAGATTTCCTCTCCTTTCCAAAATAGACCCAAAATGGTTCACGAATGAAAGTTCCTTCGACGTCTGAGAGTTCCTACCTGGACGATGCGGTCGACTTCCGGTGATGGGAAGATGTCGATCTGAGGAAGGGAAACGAAGAGAAGCACGAGACACAAAACACTATAAACCAAAATTTAATAGCATCAATGCTCCTTATACACAAACTACCATGCCAAATTTCGTTTTTTAATCTTCATCCATCCTGAGATATTAAATGAAATAAATGCCAACATTCACATCCATATACAGATCCATTTTTTGCCGTGTTTTGACTTTTTGAGTTCAGAGGGTCTCAAACGTGGAGATTTGCAATAAGTCGAAAGAACAAATTTGACACGATTTCAATACATTCTTTTCTTATTTATACATAACAGCCGGAAAAGTAAAAATGATTTTATAATTTTAAAATTTGTAACAGACTAATGAAAGACCATACATAAGATTTCATATTTAAGTTTGTCCCTAGTGCCAAATGTGGCTAGATATTATATAAGTACTGAACAAGAATAGTCTTTTATGGCGGAAAATACAAAATTCACCTGTCCGCGACCGTCAAAAACAAGGATCGCCTCTTATATGCTAAGAAGTACAGTACAAGGATCGCTTCTTCTTTCCTGTTTATCCCATCCTGTCTCTGCACTTCTATCGGAAGAGGCGGAGACAGGATGGGATAATGTTAAAGAAACGAAATTTATAATGGTAACTTTTGCATAACCGGTATTGACACTATTAAATTTTGATGGTTAAGGAAATAAAGGGGATCATATGTCATATCTCGAAAGAGGTCAGACGCAATGAAGACGATATTCATTATTAACATTTACAATTTTTTTATGAAATTCATCACTACCTTCAAAATTAAGCTTTTTCCCATTTTATAAAAATTAAAAATATAAAAATTTTTTTAAAAAATTTCATAATAGATGGCGTCACAAAATTTTATTTATGATAATTAAAAATATACTGTAAATGTTACTTTTTAATAGCAGGGAAAGCTACGCAACTCATTGCTGGAGTTTTTCTTTAAATTTTGGCATATTATTAGTCAAACAGTTATCATGTAATATGACTGTCAAATGAATATAGAATTATCGTGAAACAATTCTATTATGAAGTTATTAATGAATAAAAAAATACTTGAAATTTCATAAAGAAAACTGGTGGAACCAGTTAAAAAGTAAAGCACCGCGAAAACATCTAAATAAAGTAAACTTGAAAGATGTGGCATAAAAAAACAGGAATCACGTTTGACAGTAAGACTCAACGTGAATAAAGTGCGCATTACAACTACAGGAAATTTTGAATAAAGCAATGTCACCATGATAACAAATCAGGTAAACAAGCATCGTCCTGGCTTCCAGGTTTACATTGTGCTTTAAAGTTCCTTCATTGATCTATTCAAGATGCTTTAACGTTAAATTCAGCAAAATTATTTTAGGTGCAACGAAAAAGCTTTACTTTTCAACCTAATTCGACCAGTTTTTCATGGGATAACTAAAATTATTAATACATTATAATAAAAAAAATGCAGTACGCTAGTATTGAAACACGCTTTAACATTTTCGAATTTTTCGACTGTGTTCTCTATATATAAGAAAAAATATTCACAAAATAATTATTTAAAATCTTAAACCGCACATATAATTTATAAAATATTAAAGTTTTAAGACATTTTAAAAAATTTGTAGTATTAATTAATTATTCATCAAAAACGCAATAATTAGAAACAACGACGAGGTTTTTCATTGTCAATTTTTTTCGCAACAAATGCCATTTTCCAAATAAAATACTTAAAGAAAATTTAATCAGTAATTTCATTCTGAAATTTAATAAAGGTAGTAAGTACCCTTACATCGTTTTCTTAATTTTACAATTCTTTGCACATCGATCTATTAACGATGGCGTTTCAAAGACTTTATTTTAAAATCTTCATTTTATTAGTAATGCAGTTTCTAAAACAAAAATGAAAAAAATTTCGAATTCTTCGGAATCTATTCATTTTCGTAATAATGAAAGTCTCTGTTTTCTGGAAGAAGACGACGAAACGGGAATTTCCAACGTCCGGACGAAAATGGACATTCCGAATAGTTTGCGGGAAACGGAAACCGTCTTCAGAAATAAGAAAATATGTGAAAAAATAACGCTAGAAAACTTCGGTCGATCTTCTTCCGACAATTGGACGAAAGGTAAATATCCAATGAATTTAAAACGCAAATGAAAATATTAATTCCAGTTCCGTTTTCAATCAGTTTTTTCCTTTGATAATCTGGTTACTCACGAAAAAACTAACGTGTCGGACGAGAAAGACAAAGAAAGTACGAAAGCTTCAAAATCGAAAAAACTGAAAAACTTTCTTCCTCGAACTTTTCTTCACTTTTGTCCGTCGGAAAGTGCTTTGGATTTACGTTCAAATTCTTCGTTTTCGTTCAAACGTTTATCCAAAGATAATTTAAGAGATTTAACCTTCGAGAGCGTTTTAAAGCCGTCAGCGACAGCCGGTGGTTTTGCTGAAAACGAAGTCGTGAAAGAAATTATTCCTTTGAACCAATTTCCTGGGATTTCGATTTTCCAGATAATTACAGACGAATTTTTATCGGAAAAACGATCCGACTTAGAACTGGTGATCGTTTTACCTAAACCGTTTTCATCGCACGAAATCGAATGTATCAGAAAATGTTATTTGAAGAGAAAAAACTCGTTGCGAGTATATTGTGGGCTTTGCAACAATTCCTTTTCTCTCTCCGTAGACCAACTGGATGCCGTCGCTAGCCGCCAAGAAGACAAAGAAGTGGCCACATTTGTATGGAATCTGTGTTTGCAGAGAAATACCAATCATCATTCTCGTCACAGTAAATTAAAATCCATTATTAATAAGGAAATGTTTTGTCCTCGATGCCAATACAAAAAAGAATCATTTCTGGACAATGTTTCGACGTATCGCGTTAAAAAATCGTCTGCGTACAAAAGACATCTTTTCCGGCCTTTATTTAAAGAGAGATCTAAAACCTTTTCTTGCGTACTCTGCCGATCTTATCTAAGTAACGGAAAGATGTTAATTAAGAGACTATTATCTAAGAAGATACTGGAAGAAAGGTATAAGATTTACAAATGTGAAGTTTGCAATTGCGCCACGTATAGAAGTAAAAGAGAAGCGTCGAAACACGTGATCGAGCACATAGCTTCTGGAAGCGTGCTCTGTTCTGAATGTTATTCTTCGATGTTCACAAATTCGTCATCGATGTTCAACGTCGATCTTCTCTGGGAACAAATTACTTGTAGTTCTTGTAAAAAGTCGTATTCTGACGCAAATACCTTTCTAGGAAAGTGGAATGACTTAGTCGCGAGAGTAGGATCTTCGACTGCCAAAAGAAAGATTCGTCGCTCTTATCGCTGTAACGTGTGCGATAAAAAATTTAAAGGAGCGAGAATGGAAGCTCATCTGGTGTCTCACGTAGCGGAAAATTCAATTCTTTGTGTCAAATGTCGTAAAAATATATGACACGGACTCAAAATCTATCTCAGTTTGTGGTTAGCGATGAAAGATACTTTTTCATATCTCGACAAAGACGAATAAATGCATTTTCCTCCTAAAATTTTAATAACGGTATCTGTCTTTTTAAATATTTTTAAATTAGTAGATCTAAATCACATTACTAATTATTATCACTGTTTATGATACAGCAGTTTTTCTCCAGACAAAAAATAAATAAATTTAAAGAATAAAATGACGATCTTAAAAATTTTCTGTGTAGCTAATACTTGATTTTTTAGAAAATATATCCTCCAAAATCTATTTTTAAAATATCATAGTAAATTCATTTTTGACAATAATTAAATATCAATAAGTAAAAACAGATTTAGGATTAAATTATTTATCAATAATTATTTCTAATTATCTATTTTTTTTTTTGGAAATTGAAAAGTTTATAGCTGTATCGTATGGTATTAAAGTATGCTCGGTTGTAAGTTTTCTAATATGAAAGATTCCTTAATTTCTTCTGCTATTTTCTCGTAACGAGAAAAGGAATTTTCAATTCCTTTTCTCGTTACTCTTTTCTCGTTACTCTTTTCTCGTAACGAGAAAAGGAATTCGTGAAAGAAAACGTGAAGTTTATAGAATAACCATTTTGGACGAGGATTTTTGAAATTAAGACAGTACTACATCTATAACTTCCAGTTTTAATACTTTTTTTTAGCAAAATTGCTTTTATACTTTAATTTTATATACTAACCAAACTATTTATATCAGTTCAAATTTATTTCAGTTTTTCCTGTAAAATCAGGATGTCTATAATTAAAGTATTTTCCTCACTAGAAGTCTATAACAACTCCACTGTCTTACCAATAACACAACATCAGCGCTATAAGATATTTTGAAACCTTTTGTAATCTCTAAACCAGTGTTTCTCAACTTCTTACGAATCGTCGCCCCCTTCAACGTAGTATCGCCCCCTCAATAAAACCGTTACGTAGTATCGCCCCCTTCACTTCAAAATTCCGATGCCGCAGGCAAAGGTTAACGCCAAATTCGTACTGCATTGAATAGACTAGTGACTAGTATAATGTTATTTGTTTAATTATTGTACGATATAACGAATAAAATATCCAATTATTCTTAATGTAATGTTTTACTATATCGCCCAAAAAATTATTTTTCGCTCCCCAAAATATAAATTGTTACTAATCGTCCCCTCAACGCGGAAAAACGCCCCCATGTGGGCGATATCGCCCCACATGGGGGCGATATCGCCCCCGTTGAGAAACACTGCTCTAAACTATAGCAGAAAGGATGTTCGAGTAATGTCAAGTTTATCACCCGGTGTAAGATCGCGCGCTGCTTTCATTGTGAGAGACACGATGACTAATACGTTTGGCAATGAAAGGGTGGTCAGTCACTTTTTTAATTCAGTGGTCTACTCGTTCACCCGATCTCACCTCTTGTAACTTCTGGTTATGGGGCTATTTGAAAAGCATGACTTATATAGGCAAAGTTGCAAATTTATGAGAACTAATCAGGCGAATTGAAAGGGAAATGAGGGACATACTGCACACGGCCGATTTAAAAATAACTCGATTGCAATATGTGACTGAAAATGGTTGGAAAGCAAGTTAAAGAGTTTCTTCGATGATGCTGTGTCAAAGTGCCATAATAGACTCTGGCGGCAACAATTGTAACTATTTTTGATACTCAATATATTTTTCTAGTGTCGAGATAAACGTGCTTACAAAATTGTATCTATCTATCTCTAACGGTTTTGTTTTCAATGTCTTAATTAATATACTTTAATTATAGACACCCTGTAATCTGTTTGAATCAATTTATCTTATTAATATTGCCCGATTCCGAGTCATGTTATAATAGATATATTTTTCACGAATGGCTCTTAAAAACAGCTGAATCTAAAAAAATATTTGCAGTATGATAAAATCTATGAAAATAATTTTTCCATCTGTCACTATCAAGCTATGGATTTTCGAACCAATAAATTTTCTTTAAATTGCGGGGACGTAGCACTGACTTTTATGAAGTTAGTTGGAAATGAAGTGCTATAATAAATAACACATTAGAAAATATTCTACAACGATGGATCATTGCCAGATTTTATTTTATTTTATTTTAGTCTTTACGTTTTTGGCCAAGATGACGATGCGAGTACAAAAGTGATATTTTTCTGGATTATACTAAATTAAAAGCATAACGAATTTTCTCTAAATATTTTCTCTATTAGTTCAATACTTTGGAAAAAAGGGGGCAAAAGCTTTCTGGAAGCTCATAAGTTAATCCATAATGTTTTAATCCCGTGGTGCCAAAACTTTTCGATTGACGGGCAACATATTTTATATATTTCATATTTAGAATATTTTTATTATTTATAAGTAAAGTGTTAAATATGTTCGCGGGACAGATTAACGTGTGCATTAGTTTGCGTACTACTGTTTTCATCTTTCTTAACACTAAAAATGTTATCCTTGATGTTAGATAACTTACTTAGTTTTATTAGCAATAAAAGACGGGACGTTAACAACGAGGATTATCAGAAAAAATTTTAAAGTTGAAGCGTTTTAGGAAAGAACTGAAAAAAATTGCATTTAAAATTCCTTTTTTTTCCCCTCAAAGCATATTATGCGAGAAATTCCAGTCTTAAAATAAATGTGTTTTCTATTTAATTATTTTTTTCGAAACTTTTTTCTGTTTTTGTAATTCGACTTACAATCTCTAAAATTAGAAGTGGAATATTTAGTGTCGTGTGTTTATTTCAGTTTTTAGTTTTCCATGTTCTTCATTCCTTTCTTACCATCTAAATTTTTATAAATACCGTTCAAATAATTTTACAATGCTTGGAAGAATAACTCCATTTGTTTAACGACAAATTATTGATATTAATATAAATATTATGGTTTTTTAATAATGGTCCATCTATATATATAATCGAGATGGGTTGGTTGATAATAATAATAATAATAAGCGCAGAGCCAAAACGGTTAGGAGTTGAAAGTTGAAATTTGGTACACAGATAGGGTACGTCACGAAAACGCACACTAAGAAGGGATTTTTCGAAATTCCCCCCGGGAGAGAGAGACAGGATTAAGGCTTAACACTTCCATCAACAATGGAAGTGTTAAGTAACAATGGAAGTGTTAAGTAACAATGAAAGTGTTACGTAACAATGGAATTGTTAAGAGAAAGCGACGTGCAAGACGCAGATGCAGATTTTTCGTCTTTGCGGGAAATCGAACATATTTTTAGACATATCTAAAAATTCTCTGATCAGTCCGGAAACAGGGGGACCCAATTCTTGCATTCTGTGAAAAGGTAAGAATGACTATAACGTAATAATGTTAATCTTCCCTATCGTTACTTTTGCCCGAGCAACGCCGGGCCTACCTGCTAGTTGACAATAATTACATCATTTATTGAATCTTTATATATTAAAACAGTCACCTATTTTTTAATTAGATTTCTGGTCATTGACGAAATATTGACAATTAGAAAGAAATAAAGATCTCATTGCAAAAGAATCTCAAAGTATCTCCTGAGATTAAAAATTTTAAAAATTAAAAAGTCGTAATCTTATTTCCCATTACCTAATATTTTCTGTTATTCTTATTATATAAATTTACATTCTCATCTATTGTTTTGCTTATTATTTCTATCTTATTTTGTTTATCGCGAGAAATTGAGGAACTCGATCAAGAACAATGCCAGTCGTTGAGTAAAGGATACGAAAAGATATTCGAGTGATTGCCAAGAAGTATGACGAGTGTTCGCTTCGCCTATTTGATCGGCATATATTAAATACAATAGTAGAATTACTAAAACGAACAAATGTAAGAAGTGGTTAGTTTTAGAAGTAAAGTATTGGTTAGTTTTAGAGATTAGAGGTTAAGAAGTATAGGTTAGTTTTTGTTAATTACAGTCGACCCCCCTATAATTACGGTCCCTATAATTACGATTTCTATAAAACTACGAAAAAATATACGTATTTTGGAAATGTTGAGTCGGATTAGTGTAGAATCGATTAATTTTATGGAAGAAAACCTTTCAATCAACCGTAGTCCGTAAACTTGACACGTGTCGGGCTGTGATTGGAACGACTTGTAAGAAATCGGATTCCTAATAAATTGGAACGTATCTATATCTTATAGGGGGGTCGACTGTATATAAATAAAAGGCAAACTTTCAATAATTATTTGAGTAAATAGTTGGAATCAATTCTAAAATATAAAATGAGATTTTTTATTTATTCTAAATATTCTAATTTACACAAAAACGAATACCCAAACGATAAAAGAGTGAATGTGATTCAAACTCAACCCAATTGTAGAGGCGCGAATATATTCCATGACACATCAATTGAAAATTTTAATGTTCCTAAAATAAATAAAGCTGCGTGAACAAAATTTCATTCCAAAATTCTAAAAATAAAAACTTAAATAACTTTTAATTATTTTAATTTAGACTTTTTTAATAAAAGTTAAAATGTATTTAAAAAATATTCTCTTTCATAAATGGAAAAAGAAGCTCTACACAAGTTAAGGTGATTAAAAAATTCCTTTGCACAACAGTGTATCATCTGTAATTTAGGTCACTGTGACGTTTTAATCACCCTGTATTTGACTATCTTTTTTATTTTTATTTTTTTATTATGTTTCCTTTTGTCCTGCCAAATGTAGAAAATAATGCACAGTACTTATACATTTTAATTCTTGAGTTAAATCAAAAAGTCAATTTATTAATAATTATTATTAAATAGAAATTTTACATATTTAATCAATTAATATTAATAAAATCATATGGAAACAATTATTTGCTTTGATTTGACTGTGTTAAGAAGTTAAAATAACTGCATTAATAAAAAATCTAGAAAAGAAGAAAAAATTCATTTGGTATCAGGGGTTACAGACTTGCTATTTTAGACTTTTAAATAAAATTTATTTAATTGTGCATTTAATAGCATTTTCATTTAATATGAATAGGTCATATCGTCAAGAAATTCGAATATTTACGATCTTTTATCCTGTAAACTGTTTGGAGTATTTACGATTTTTGTAAGAATAAAATTTAACAAAATAAAATAAAAATTTAGTGATTAAATTTAATTACATATAAACATTTTGTAAACGTAAGACATTATTAAACATCCAATTGATTTTCCTTTATTGAAAATGACGTAAATAATAAATAAGAATAATAGTTAAAATAATAATATAAGATTTTCTTC